AAAAAAAAAAAAAAAATAGAAAAAGAACACGAATAATAATAAATGCTGGGGAGGATGTGGAGAAAAAGGAACACTTACACTGTTGTGGGATTGTAAATCAGCACAGCCATTACAGAAATCAGTATGGAGGTTCCTCAAAAGCCTAGGCATGAAACCACCATATGACCCAGCCATACCTCCTCGGTATTTATTCTAAAGAACTGAAGTCATCATACCACAGCTGTGCATGCACACCTGAGTTCACAGCAGCACAATTCCCAATAGCAAACTAGGGAGCCAGCCTAGGTGTCCATCAACAGGTGAATGGATAAAGAAAATGTGATCTATATACACAATGGAGTTTTATTCAGCCATAAGGAAAAGTGAAATCATGTCATTTGCACGAAAATGGATGGAACCCCAGGATGTTAAGAGAAATAAGCCAAACTCCCAAGGTCAAGGGTTGCATGTTTGCTCTCTTAAGTGGAAACTAGAGAGAAAAATGGAAAAGAAAGGTGTGGGGGGTGGGCAGGCAACTCAAAAATATGGAAGGGAGGTCAGTAGAGTAGAGGAAGGGGACCAGGGGGAGAAGGGAAGAAAGAGAAAGGGGACATACCAGGGAATGACATTGGCCAAAGTATATTGTTATATTACTGCATGTACAAATGTGTAACAAGTCCCACCATGTGTACAAGTATAATGCACCAACAAAAATATGGGAAAAAAGTTCCCTTGGAGCTTTGTGTGTTATGACAGTAAGGAACTGAACACTTCCCAAGTGCCCACGGCCTGGAGGATTAGTACACCAGTACGTCCACTCAGTGGGATGTTTTGTGATTTGAAAAAATGTACACAAGGAAAATACTGATGATAATGTTTAGTGAAGAAAAACCTATGTTTATAGCATGGGATCACTCATATATAAAATTTAAATGACAGCAAAATTTTTAAAAAGTTCTACAAATGAACCTGGAAAAAAATACACCAAATGCCAAGTAGTTGTTTTTAGGAAAGGACACTAGAGAAGGTTTTTTTCCTCTCTTTCTCTTTTTTTGTACTTTCTTGAATTTCCTGATTTGTCTTTAACAACCTATACTGCTTTTAGGATGAAACCCATATTCTTTACATGTTTTATTGTTTCTATTATCAGAGTAAAGCGTGTCAGTTGCAGACACAATTCATACTGTAGAGAAATGTATGAAGCTGAAAGTCAACGTGTCCTTGCCTGATTCTCATCCTCTGCAGTGTTCAGAGTTCCTAGATCAGTAAACGATGAACTTCCTTTCATACGTGTTTCCTAAACAGGAACACACATTTTTAAAAGCAAAAACAGGATTGCAAACAAACCAGCACTACAGCTTGCACTTCCTTCCACTTAGGTCTTGCACACCTTTTCATGTCCTGACATTCTACTATAGACTTTTTTTTTTTTTTTTTTTTGGTACTGGGAACTGAACCCAGTGGTGCTTCACCACTGAGCCACATCCCCAGCCCTTTTTATTTTTATTTTATCTTGAGACAGGGTCTCACCAATTTACTTAAGACCTTGCTAAGATGCTTTGAACTCTCAATCCTCCTGTCTCCTGAGTCGCTGGGATGACAGGAGTGCGACACCACGCCTGGGCCTTTGACTATAAACTTTATTGTTCGTAACAGATGCACAACATTAGTAGGTGCTTTATAATTCAGTTCACCATCCCTCGGGGATGATTTAGATTGTTTCTACTTGATCATTATTATATACAATGGTTCAGTTAATATATTTATAATTTGTGTATGTTTGCATAGGTGTGTATTTGAATAACTGTGTGTAAACTATATGTAAATATAATACATATGTTAAAATTAGGTTAAAGATATTTCCTGTTATTTTGTGATTCAAAAACTTATCTGCTGTTTTTTATATTATTTTTTAGTGATGGACACAATCTCTTTATTTATTTATTTTTATGTGGTGCTAAGGATTGAACCCAGGGCCTCACATGTGAGGGGCAAGTGCTGTACCACTGAGCCACAACCCCGGCCCCTTATTTGCTATTTTAAAGTTGGCATTGTGGGAGCTGAAGCAAATGGGTAAAATATTAGGGTAAAATTTGTTAAATCTGGAGGGTAGATACATAGGACCCTGCTATAGTCTTTTCCGCAGTTTCTACACATTTTAAAATTTCCAGATTTAAAAATCAAAAACAATTTAAAAGAAGGGGTGGAAAATAATGCGTATTCTCTCCATTCACTCACTGTGAATGTTTAATGAGCACAGGCTCATTAAATAGAAACTGGCCCCGGGAGAGGGCTCGGTTTGCTTAATAATCCCTGAGATGCCTGGAAATGCACAAACACTCATGAATGTGGTGGGGGGGGGGTGGAGAACCCCAGCATTTACCGAGGGTCACTCCGGCAGGCACAGTTCTATGTGCGTTGTCCGCATTATTTAATTTTAATAACAAAAGAGGTGGCAGTAAAACTAAACTAAATGTGATGACTTGCATGTGATAAATGTGTGTTGAAATTATACAATAAACATGCAGAAAAAGAAGTCAGCAAAGTAGGAAAAAAACTATTTGTGAAAAGTATTCAGAAGGGCCTGAGGCGGGTCCCTCGTTCAGGCAATGCCAATGCATGACCCTAGACACCCTCACATTAAGTGACAAAACCAAGGCAGAGAGGTGGATTCTGTGATGTTTAGGGGGCACTGGGGGTTGAACAGGGGACACTACAGCTGAGCTATACCCCCAGCCCTTCTGATTTTTCATTTTGAGACAGGGTCTCATTACCCTGCCTCCGCCTCTAAGAAGGAGAGATGAACTGACTGAAAACATTGCCTGGGGTTCCCAAGCAGGAAACTAGGCAGCATCATTCTCCATTTCCAAACCCAGATTGTCTCCTACGTGCAGGTAATCTAGCTTCTAGATCTTTCTGAATTGACTCTCCATTTTCTTCTGATCTCAGGCCTGGAAATCTTAAAAACTTTCTCTTTTTTTGGCACCTGGGATTCAACCTAGGGGTGCTTAACCACTGAGCCACATCCCCAGCCCTTTTTGTTTTTTAGAGACAGCATCTTGTTCAATTGCTTAGGGCTAAATTTCTGAGGCTGGCCTTGAACTTGTGATCCTCCTGACTTGGTCTCCGGAGTTGCTGAGATTATAGGCATCAGTTGTGCAGTACTGTAATTGGCTAAAAGCTTTTCTTGATGTGTATCATTTTATCATTTTATAGCTAATACATTCACATGACCCAAAAGTCAAAAAGTGCAAAATATATAGAAGAAAAAAAAATCTCCTTTTCACCTGTCCCTATCTACACATTTCTTCTCCCAGAGACAACTTCTGTTTCCAGTTTTTCTTTCTTTTCTCTCTCTCTTTTTTTTGTGGTGTTAGGATAGAACCCAGGGCCTTGTGTGTGCTAGGCAAGTGCTCTCCTGATGAGCTACACCATTAGCCCTGTTTCCAGTTTTTTTGTCTGGCCTTCAGAGATATCTATGCACAGATAAACAGACATATATAGACATATAATTTTTAAACATAATTGGGAGCATGATTCTTGCTGTTCTATACTTTGCGCTCCACCCCAGGCACCTATCAGTACATAAAGCACTCTCCCCTTTCCGTTTTAATGGTTGCATAGTACTCCGCAGTATGAGTACACCATTTGCTTCATTGTTGCCTTCTTTTTTGCTCTCACAAGTGAGGCTGCAAAGTGCCTGACTTTTAAGCCTGTCTTTCTCTATCTTGTGAGTATACCTGTAGGATGGAATTTCAGAGGGAAATTGCAGGATCAGGAGGCGTGAGCATTTGGCCTTCATAGATATTTACCAGATTGCCTTCTAAGGATTTGCGCTAATTTACACTCCCACCAGCAACAGAGGGATTCCCCCAGCCTTGCCAAGTCAGCGTGTTTTCAAAGTTTTGGTCCCTGACAATCAGATGGATGAAAATTGAGTTGTATTTGAGCCAACCACCAGGCATTAAAGAAAAAGACACGGGCGCACACACACACGCACACACACACACACACACACACACACACAAGATGCAAACATTTTCAGGGGGGTGAGGGGGTGCTAAGCTGTCTGCTCTTTTGCATATGAATAACATAAACCTTTGGCATCAGTCAAAACCTGCCTCAAGCCTGGCGCAGCGTCACAGGCCTGTAATCTCAGCGGCTCTGGAGGCTGAGACAGGAGGATCAAAGCCAGTTCAAAGCCAGCCTCAGCAACAGGGAGGCACTAAGCAACTCGGTGAGACCCTGTCTCTAAATAAAATACAAAATAGGGTTGGGGATGTGGCTCAGTGGTCGAGTGCCCCTGAGATCAATCCCCAGTACC